CGCTCTGGGTGGAAACACGGGGAGGTCCCCAGGCCACCCGCACCGACAGTGGTGCACGTCCCCCAGTGGCACAGCCCTGGGCAAAACCAGGGCATGAGGTATCCTCCTTCTCTAGCACGTGAGCCGTTCACCCGTTACCAAAAGAAAATGTGTTTCTCTGCAGTGCCAGCAAATGGCCACCCCATCTTAACTGGTATCAGAGGTCTGGTAAGTCCTCTCCTTCTTGAGAAAGGGCCCTCCCGTGCTTGGCAGCAAACATATTTGTAAAGAAAGCCCATGGGAATTAATGCCTTTCTGCAGGCTCAGGTTCTGAGCTGCAGGATCTTGCAAGTACCTCAGCTTCATTTTCTTTCCTTAAATGAAATTACCAGGTCTCTGCGCAGAGGAAAAACAAAATAAGCTGTAAATGCAGGACAACATCTCAACAACTAGAAGCCAGCTCAAAAATATGAAAACCCTTCATTGCATTTAACAGATTTCAGGGCTATGACTGGTGCATTTTGACCAAAAATACTGGGTCCGTGGATTACACAAGGGCTTAGCCCAAAAAGCTAGGGAGTAAGCAACAATTATTTGCTGTAAAATAAATCAAAGCTTCCTAAAAATGCTGCCCCTGTAGAGGCCACGGTGCAGGGGCGAGGAGGACCGTGTGCCGCAGGGCACCAGGGACGCACCCAGCCCCACGGGCCATGTGCCGACGGCTCTGGTCAAGCCGTAGCAAGTCTCTGCACAAGGGTGAGTTGCTTTGTGTAAACAAGACCTCCTCCTCCTGAATGGCCCACTGTTTTTCATACATCCTTCAGGTGCATCCTGTCAGATATTTCTAAATGCTGAGCGCTTAAAGAGGTGCTGATCATATGCATTTGGCCTTCCGCCCACAGGATACCAGGCTAAAGGCGAAGACGACCTTTATCTGGAGGCCTCAGATAAAGTCTCACAGTTATTTAAAAATTCCTTTGTGTCTTCTGCCTTTGAAAGTATAACATTGCGTAGCGTAAAATGCATGTTTAGTATTGGTAATGAGACAAAAGAGCAGAAATGCTAAACAAAAATATGCATGCAGTTGAAAGAAGGACGGAGAGGTTGGTTAGTATATGTTGAAGGAAAAGGCTCGAGGCTTGTCAATCCATCAGCCTTTCACGACCAGGAAGGTTGTGGTCTTCTGTAAAAGTAC